ATTCAGTAAGTTTTGGTCTGGGGTACAGTCAAACCAAAATGAAATTATCCTCATAGTGAAGGCCATTCTGCTATCTAAAAGTTAGCAGGAGTTTCCAGAAGAAAAGTCATACTTCCTTTTTAAAAGGAACATTACTTACTTTTCTAACACACATGTGTAAGTAACATTTAATTATGTTAGGTGTGTATACAGTACTATTGTTTTAGAGGATAAGGTGGAATAGCAAGCCAGATTTGGTCTCACTCCCTAGGAATGGGCATATAGAATAAGGAGCCTTTATATTGAGCTTCACTAGTGGCTCAGACAGTTAAGAATCTATCTGCAATGCAGGAGAACTGGGTCTGATCCCTGGATTGGAAAGATCCCCCAGGGAAGAGAATGGCTATCCACTCCAGTATTCCTGCCTGAAGAATTCCTTGGACAGAGGAGTTTGGCAGGCTATAGTCCATGGGTTCACAAAGAGCTGGACTTGACTGAGTGACTAACACAGTACACAGTACCAAAATGAGCCACAAGAAAACTGTGGCAGAAGGATTAACCCAGCATTGTAGCTTTGTGATTTACCAAAAGTCCACTCCTCTTCTTGATATGAGTTTGAGTAAACTCCGGGAGTTGGCGATGGACAGGGAGGCCTGGCATGCTGCAGTCCACGGAGTCGCAAAGATTCGGACACAACTGAGCCACTGAACTGAACTGAATGTGACTACAGCAAAGAGCCAGTGAGAAGACAAGGAAGAAGACGGAGGGTGAGAGGAACCCGGGGAGGTGAGCAGTAGCCAAAGGAAACGGGGCTTTGGAGACAATGCCAAAGAACTACTCTGCACCCTAAGAGTGAGAAGTAGTCATGGAAAGGTTTTATGCAGAATGATGATACAAGGTTACCTGCCTTAACAAAAGATTCCTTAGTGGATCAAGAAAAGTTTTACTTTTTTTTTGAGGATCAGCAGGCTTGACTGAGTCATTTAAAGTCCCTGTTGTGTCTCTGATTTGTCAGTGAGGCATTAAGATAAATAGGAGGTGCAGCAGCAGCAGCATCATAGTTTGGGACGAACAGAAAACTCAGTTCCTACACGTATATCCCATTGGTCACACAGCTGCATTCTAACTCTCCTCTGGGTACAGATGTCTGTGCCAACAGCGGCACAGAGAAAATGCTCAAGAAAAAGTGACACAAATTGACTCTGGCAGTTATTTGGCTCATTTTTTCAGAATCCATCTGTGAAACACCATTTTTCAGTAGCCAAAGAAGATGGAAAATGTTGGCAATTGACAAAACTGCTACTGGACTTACAGAAATCATGCCTTGCTTAGTAGCACTGCTCTGTGAAAAAAAAAAATTTTCTTTTTCTTTTTTTTTTTTTGCTATGCTTGCATAGGAACATCTGTGTTTTCATCAGGGAATGTGAAATATAAGCACAAGGGAGAATGGACTAAACAGCATTAAAGAACCAGAATCATGTTTGATGTGGCATTTAATAGCAAAAAGGAGGCCAAACCACATGACTAGTAGCTATAAAGTGGTTTTCATAAAAACTGACTGTAAGAAAGAAACCCTTGCATTTTGGCTGTGCATTTACATGCCTGATGTGTCCCCTTTTCCTACCCTTCAAATTTACTGCTTGTTTAGAAAAGTAAAGAAGAGTAGTGTGGGGGGATGAGCAGTGATAATAGAATCAATCCTAATTTAGTCTGTCTCTACCCTTGAAATTACTTCATTAGGAAGGCATGCCCATGTACACAGAGACCCTCATTGCAAAGAATTCTGATGATTTCTAAAACCATTTCCCAGAGTTTTTCTTTTTTTCTTACAGTGTCACAATTGCTTTAACGCTTAACAAAATAGTGCATGTGTCTATAGTAGAAAAATTCAGATCAAAGCTTTACTTAGCGAGTGCACTAGACAAAAACACCCCTCCACGTGCGCGCACACACATACACACACAGGCTGCTTCAGAGAATTTTAGAGTATTAAGTCTAGATTTTTATGACACAGTATGTCTTTTTAAATATGAAACTATAAAGGAAAAAACTTTGGTTGACTTAACTATATAAAATGTTAAAGCTTTTACATAATGTAACAGAGTGCTAAGCAAAATTTTTTTAACCTACAATACACAGGGAAATAAGAATAATTCTGAAGTTATGATTGACAAGTTCAATTTTGATCATCTTAGTTTTTGACAAGATCTGTCAATTCCTTGGGGAATATATGCCATCTCAACAGCTTTGCCAAATAAATGGCAGAACACATTAACTTTGGAAAATGGAGGAATGAGTATTATTCACTTTTAATTTCACTCTGATAATAGTGCAGGACCCAGGGTTAGAAGATCCCTATCCTTTGTTTAATACTATGCCAACAGTGACTTGAAATGTTTCCCTATTTTTGCAAAAAGAGGCATGAATTTTATTTTCCAGTGGGCTCTGCAAATTACATACTTGCCCCACACTTACTGTCCTATAAAATGCCTGTCTACAAAATGACATGCTTTGTGCCAAAGAAGAGTATCAAGATGCTTAAGAAATAGCTCTAGTCCTTAAAAGTTTATAGCTTAAAAGTAGAGTTAAGTTTAGTAGTGAGGTTATAATATAGTAGAAAACATGGTAGAAATGAGCTTTCAGAGGAAGGAAAGGTTACTTCTCAGTAGAAACACCAGTATCTGTGCAAAGGGCAGCTTTTAGTTAGTTAAGATATAAACAGTGGAGACTTGAACATTGACAGTGGGGGAAAAGGCAACAGAGGCAGGGTGCTGTGTAAAAGCACAGGTTCTGCTTGAGCACCTGGAATCATTAGGTTTGCCCCAGGGCGAGAAGAAACAGGCTGAAAAAGCAGGGTGTCACTGGCTGGGGCACAACCTTGAATAACCAGTTAATGAGGCTATAGCTAATTCAACCGGAACCGCCAACCTTTGAAAGGTTATAGAGGGAGCCAGTTGGTCACAGTCACAATTTAGGAAGATTAAAACCAGCCCCAGGCAACAGTGGTCATTGTGTCGTCCCTCTGGACTCCCAGCCCAGTACTACACAAGCAAATGATGTGGACTTGATGTTTTACAGAGTGGCCAGATGCAAAGTGACATCAAAGTCAGTGCCTAGCTCTTTTATATTAAATCAGTTAAACTCCACTTGCTCCAAGAGGACCAACAACTAATGTTCACAAATACTAGAAAACCAACTTTTATGGCTTGAGGTTTGAACTGTCAAAATAGATGACAAATTTAAACAACTCTGAGAATACTACAAAAATAAAAGTTTAACCAGGGTGAATTTCACACACACACACACACACACACACACACACAGAATGGAGACATCTCCAATTTCCTGAAACTGTGCCTCTAAAAAGTTTTTGTTGGTGTCATGCAAGACAGCATTGCCACAATTCCATTTCCTTATGAAAATTTATGGAAGCTGAAGTCAGTGTGGTGAGTACCTAGCTCCTAGGTATGTGAGACAAACAGTGAGTTCTGTCCCACAAACAAGCATTTCACTGATTACCAATTGCGATCTTTCTTTTTCAGGGCTATGTCACAAGGAAATCATTAAGTTGCACTTTGATAGAGGCTTACAATGAATATTCACTTTGTCTCCTTCCATCTCTCTCCATTCACATACACACATCTATATAGCAATACACATATCAACATATATATCTATAGGCATATTAATACATAACATACACATACGGCACTTGAATCATTTCCTTGTGAACTATACTAACATTTAAACAGAAACTCCATTTCCGCTTTTCCTAAGTGTTTCACTAAATCAATACACGTATCAACATATATATCTATAGGCATATTAATACATAACATACACATAAGGCACTTGAATCATTTCCTTGTGAACAATACTAACATTTAAACAGAAACTCCCATTTCCGCTTTTCCTAAGTGTTTTACTAGATCACATCGAGATAAAAAACTGACACCCTACCAACACAGTAATTTTTTTTTAACACATTATCACTCGACATATTTGAATTTTAGCAAGAATATAAAGAAAAATATGTGGGAATGAAAAATGTATGAATAGTTAATCAGAAACAAACCAAAAGAAATATACAACTCTACAATTGCATTTAAGAAAATTCAATAAATATCCTTTAAAACTTTTGTATCACTGATACAAAGTATGAATTTGATTTTTTTAGTTCAACTTAGGTCATTTATTTGCCAAAAATAAAAATGAAAAGGCCAGTTTAACATTCTAGCTCTCAAAAATGAAAATGAAATCTTAATTGGTGCTGCACCCTTATTTAAGCTCACATACTCTATATATAACAATTTAAAGATGATTCTATTTTCAAAAGAAAAATCATACAAAATAACTACTTTCTGAAAAAAGGCAAAGTTGTCAATATTATTTTTAATGACAAAATAATATAGTTTCTCTAAAATAAGCTTAGAGACAAATTAATTTCAATGAATACCAGTATATTCCTAAGAAATGAAAATTGGGGTTTCATTCCAATTCCCATGGTATATTGAATTATTATGATAATATATAATATAAACACAAGAAAAGCCTTTGATAATTCATAACTGCAACATAAAATGAATTTAATTTTGGAAATTAAACTCAGGATTAAAGGATAATAAGCTTCTTCTTGGAACTTTTTCACCTTAGTCATCTGATCTTTAATATGAAACTTCATATAAGAGATGATTCAGTCTTATACTGTGGGTTGCTTGAGAAGAGTTACAATATATTAACTGATAAATAGAGATGACCTCAATTTCCTTTTTTGTTCATGCAGATACTCACTTGTTTCTCTCCTCTATAATAGAATATTGAGTGAGACTCTAAAGTTCTGACTTAACCACATATGAAATTTGGCAGCAGAAATAGAAAGAAGTCAATTGAAAATCTTGTACTTCCATAAATTTATAGGCCAATAAGACTGAGATAAAGGCAAAAAGTGTTCCCTGGGCTGCATTTCAGGAAAAGGTTGAAAAGACAATAAACACTCTCAGGAGAAAAGAAAAGCATCCTACCTTTTTAAAAATTCCATATACTCGGTATGCTTGATAAGTCCTGTCCTCATCATTATCGTCTGAAAACATTGTCGATCAATGGCCCAGAGTTTCACATTTACAAGAGCTGGGGAAAAAGAGAAAACAAATAGGGAAAAATTAGAGAACTTCAACAGTGAACTATACTGTGTAAAAGTGATGAGTTATTCAAAGGAATGAAAGTGATTATCCTTCGTTTAAAGCTAATATCCTAATGCTATTCTATTTAGTTAAGACAAGTTCTTACAGACAAAATGTAGCTCATAATTTAACACTAGTATTACTATCTATAAGGAAGTTTCCTGTCACTCTTAGGTTCTCAAGGGATGATAAGGTCTAAGTACACATTGGAAGTATTTAGTTATATACAAAGGAAATCACGTGAAGAGAGGTTCAGAAGAAGTAACACTGGGTAATTAACCAGAATAGTGTTAATGACTCACATGATCATATTTTAATTGTAAAAAAGGTAGGTGTAAATTCAGGTTTAGGAGTTAATAGAATAGAAATAATAATTACAATTAAATTGTAACCTGTGCCCACAGTTACCATACAAAGCTATATTAGATATGTTTGTTGAATTTTAATTTCTGTTCTCCCATACCACTGGCTTTGACAATAATTAAGTACAGAAACTCAATACCACTGGATAGATCACCATTTGATCTAATAAGCACAGGACTAAAAGACAAGTTTTAGAAAAAGACAGATGTTACAGTGTAAGAAAACAAAACATTAAGATAAAACTTTGTTTTAAAAGAAGTGTATGTGAAAAATGTTGATAATTGAATCTGTGTAATGAGTATTTAACAGGCATATTTTACTATGCTCTCTATTTTTATGTATGTTTGCAAATTTTCATAATGGACTTCCCAGATAGCGCTAATGGTAAAGAAGCTGCCTGCCAATGCAGGAGATGCAAGAGATGTGGTTCGGTCCCTGGGTCAGAAGTTTCCCTGGAGTAGGAAACATCAACTTACTCCAGTATTCTTGCCTGGAGAATCCCAAGGACAGAGGAGCCTAGTGGGCTACAGTCCATAGGGTCTCAAAGAGTCAGACACCACTAAAGCCACTTAGCATCCATGCATACATTGTACCCACAGAGTATATAGGGTAGATAAGGGCTGTGTACAGGTTTGAGCAAGACCAGTGAATGGGGCCAGGTTATAGTCAAATGAGGGAAGTCCAGGTGAGGCAGTGGTAAAGAATCCACCTGCAATACAGAAGATTTGAGTTTGATCCCTGGGTCAGGAAGATATCCTGGAGAAAGGAATGGCTGCCCACTTCAGTATTCTTGTCTGGAGAATGCTATGGACAGAGTCTGGCAGACTACAGTCCATGGGGTCACAAAGAGTCAAACATAACTGAGCAACTGAGCACTCATAGTTTAATGAATCAAACATAGGAACATGGATGAATGCAGTTCTCTTTTCTTCACAGTTCTCAGACCAAGCCCAGTGAATGCAATAGATCAAGATTTGGGGGTAAGGAAGTGGAGAAAATGTTGGAATAACTAGGCCATGTATGTGCCCTGAAGGAAGATGCTAGAAGTGACACACAGAGGGAAAAGATGATAAAAGGATTACTGAGTAAATAGAGTAAACCTTTGTTTTTTTGAATTTTACCTAATTTTTCCTTGAACAATTATTTGAAGCTTAGAAAGAAAACATGACTTCTCCCTTAGCCAGTTCTTTATTGAAGAAAACAGATGTTCAGTTAAGTAGAAAAAGAACAAGGCAGCAAGGACTGGTGTGTACATGGCTCCATTCCAAATAGCCTTCAAAAATGAACCTTCATCAGAAAACAAAGCTCATCTCACAGGTATTCTCCAGTTACATTCTAGTTCCTTCAGTTGAATCCAGGCTCTTTTCCAGAACACCTGTTTACCTGAGATGAACCACAGAACTGGATGATACCACCACGAGGGACTGAGAAAATCTTGACAAGATTCATAAGAAGTAGAACTTTGAAAAACAACAGAAGTTGAATTAGGCCAGAGATAGACAAAGCGCAGTCAAGTGGGGAAAGCACATAAACAAGAACACCATTAGGAATGAGTTTGGGCTCTGGGAGTCCATTCGAAGATAAAAACAGACTGAAATGGCTGAGATTTCTACAGGGCTGCTACACAATTTGAGAGCAGGCTGAGGCAGGGTCCTGGAAGCCAGGCAGAAGAAGCAAGGATTAATTTGATGAACAACAGGAAGCTAGTAGAGATCTTAAAAAGACAGAACAAAAGAACCACAATTTTAAAGGACACACCATGGGGAAATTAAAAAAAGTAAAATGCTTATAGAAAAAAAAACAGTATTTTCTATATTCACCATCATTTTTAATGTTCCCAGGTATTTTGAGTATAGACACTCCTCCCTCCAAAGGACCAATAAGGATAACCAACAAATTGTGTTATTTTAAAAAAATAGCAGCAATAAAAATAGCTTTACTATGATATGGGTTTTTTAAACATGCCTCAAAGGCATGATTGGAAGCATAATGTTAGAATGAAATAAAGCATAGATACATTTTAAGGCTTTGCCCTACAGAAAGACTTCACAATGCAAACCCCTGGTAACAATATATAAAGGCTTCTATTATAATCTCTGAAACCCAAAGATAAGATCATGGCGATAGCTGAGAAAGATTCATCTAGAAGGAACACACTGGATTCAGAAACATCTTAGGCAGAATACAGACCATCACCAGTGTCATCAAATACGCACTTTATGTACAAACTGTGGGACAGAACAGTAATATGATGAAAGCTCAGTGTGAGGAAAACTGTTCTGATCATACACTGTGTGCCCAGATTCAGACAAGGAGTAGTGAGCATGAGACAGAGGCCACAGTAACTCAGGAATGAGGTGAGGAGGGTCTAAGTGAATAAGACAACAATGGGAGTAACAGCAGAAGCTTGGGGCGGGGGGGAGTAGTGGGGTATGTGTGTGTGCTAAGTTACCTGCAGCATTATTAGTGTTAGTTCACACTTCCAATTTCCATCCGTGGTCTTTCCTGATCAGCAACCTTTTGTCCTATGAATTGCTATAGCTTTATCTGTGTCACTCAGGGCGCTTCACACATGTGGCTAATATTGTCAATTATCTCTATGTCTATATTATGTTACCTCAAATAAGAATGTACAAAATTCCCTCATAGAAAAGTCCCCGTCTCGTTTCTCATAACCTCCCCCAACTCAAGAAACTTGCTTTTTATTTGATAACCACTGGGTATAATTGTTAATTAATGTAATTTATGTACATGAAATTCACCTGCAAAAAATATATACATGCCTAGTCAGACTCTATACTCTTGCCTGGAAAATCCCATGGACAGAGGAGCCTGGTGGGCTGCAGTCCATGGGGTCACTAAGAGTCGGACTTGACTGAGCGACTTCACTTTCACTTTTCACTTTCATGCATTGGAGAAGGAAATGGCAACCCACTCCAGTGTTCTTGCCTGGAGTATCCCAGGGATGGGATCACACAGAGTCGGACACGACTGAAGTGACTTAGCAGTAGCAGTAGCAGCAGTCAGACTCTAAGATTACATTTAAATATCTAAGATGAATTTATTAGATATCATGATTCATATGTTGAGAAATGATCTCTAAAAATAAGTTCACAGAATCCAGTATTTTTATCTTCTACTTCCATTTACATGGGCTCTTGAACTGCCTAAAACCATGTTCCAGATATTTTGTATGATAATGAATATGGCTTGAGGAAATTAAGTTTTTCCATGACCTTGGGCAAGATGCCAACATCTTTTTTATATGCAGCCAATATACATATTAGTGAGGTCAGCATTTTATACAGGTGGGCAAGCATGACTATCAACCACCTTGCTGTGTTGTCTGAAGCATGGTTATATTGGAGCTGTGATTAGTATTTGTTTCTTAAACAGCCTGTTGGAGTGTAAGTCTGTTTCTTCCATAACTTGAAGAGAACGCTTTTTAAAAAATCCATTTACCTTTGATCTTAAGTGGTGTATTAATCTCTGTAGGGGATAAGCACTTCAGGAACAAAATTCCTGCAATTTTCACAATAACTGCTGTTGATGAACAAAGAAGTCAGAAGAGCATAAAGCAGAAAAAAAGGGCTGGCTGAAGGTATTTTCCTTTTCATTCAATTATGTATCTAAAATTCTCTACTGAAACATTTGTCATTTTTTTCTTCAGGTTGAGGCCAGATTGAGCTATGGAAAAGATACAAGTTACCTTACCCTGGGATCTCTTAAGTGCATGAGTATACCAAGAATACCTTCAACAGAGGTACAATTGGCCTTTGTTTAGGAGGCACCAAAATTATAGAAGAATGAAACATAAAACTGCGCTGGACTATGAAACCACACATCTGGTTTGGCTGAAATTTTCCTATCAAGGAATTCATCTGTTGCCAAACTCAAATTTTGGAAGAATTCTCAGAAAGCAAGTGTGGGTACAGAACACATGCCTCAAAGGTTTATTCTGCCCATATTCATTTCACACCGATCTAGTTGACACTGTCACTGTATATAAGGGACAGAAAATAGGTTGACAATTCCTGCCCTCAAGAAACCCGTGGTCTAGTGCAGAGGCCAGCAAATTATTGTCCCTGCCAAATCTGGTCGATGATTAGTTGCTTTCCTCACTTAGGAAATTCCAAGAATGAAATTCCAAGGATTTTAGGAGCTCCATGCCAGAAAAGAGATGAAGACCAAATGTATATTATATTTCTTATTACAAATCACAATAGGACAGGAAGTTATCAGGTCTAGACGAGGTTCTGAGGATGAAGCCCTCATGATGTTTTTAGTGCCCTTATAGAAAAGGGTTGGAAAGACTAGAGAAGGACATGGCTGACAACTCCGGTATTCTGGCCTGGAGAATTCCACAAAGAGAAGAACCTGGAGGGCTGTAGTCAATGGAGTCACAACGAGTGGGACAGGACTAAGAGACTAACACTTTTCACTTTCTCAGACGAGACTTATTTAGTAAACAGCCGCTTCCCTAAGTTCCCAGACTATTTCCAGTCCTCCCTGCAAGACTCCAGAGAGTTCCCTCGACTCAGCCAATAAAGGGATGAACACTGAGTCCAGCATATCAATATTTGT